TGTGTGTGTGTGTGTGTGTGTGTGTGTGTGTGTGTGTGTGTGTGTGTTCGGTTTCCCGGCCGGCTGGCCAGGCTGTGTGCGAGGTGGGGTTTGCCCCCTAGAGGGCGCCTGGTCTCCGGCCACACACCCAGCGGCTGCCCTCTGTCCACTACCCACCTGCCCACTGCCCAGGCCCGGCAAAGTCCTTTCAGTGACTACTGAACAGCCACGCTTCCTCCCGATCCCATCTGATCCCACCCGATTCTCCGCACTGGGGTCCAGTCCGAGCCACCACCAGGCAGAGGGCCGTGACAGCCTGGGCAGGGTGAGGCACGCCAGAGCCGGAGGTCGGAGGCCCAGGCAAGGTCCTCCTCCCTTCGGCGCCTCCTGCTTCCCACCCTGCCCGGAGGAAGCACTGTGGGTAAGACCCCCAGGGCCAGAAGACTGAGCCGGACTGCCCACCGGGGGAGCCGGGGGCCCTGGCCCTGCTCCTCCTCCCTCGCCCTCCCTCCAGCCGGCCCCCATCCTTCCCTATCCCACCCCATCCCGCCTCGGTGGAACCCGAGCGTCCAAGGCCAAGGGCCTCGCCCACCCCCAGAGTCCAGAACCCGGAAGGCAGTTTTTGTTCAACGAAAAAGAAAAAACCAAAACGGAACAGCTTATAAATGTCCATGTCCGATATTTCGTCAATGGAAAGGTAACCGCTGTGTATCTACACGTATCTACACATATCTACAGTATCTACACCGTTTGCAGATATGCCTCTGGGGTTGATTTGCCTTTACTTATGCGGCAACTACCCAGGAAGAGGGGGCGGGGTTCGCATCATCTCTGGGAGAAAAATAAATATAACTTCATTAAACATTTAACCCAAAGCTTTGGCACTAATCTGTGTACAAAGAACGAGAGATCGATCCCACGGCAGCTGCAGGGAGAGACACCCCAAAGCAATGGGAGGCCAGGGGAGGACCCTCTGCCGCCCAGAGCTCCACCCACCCGAGGGAGAGGGGCTGAAGGGTGCTTTAGTCAGAAAGTAACACTTCCACAATCCACTGCAAAAAAAAAAAAAAAAAAAAACAAAACAAAAACAAAAACAAAAACAAACAAAAAAAACACCAAAAAATATCAAAGAAAATCCACACCTGGGAGAGCCAGCACACATGTGGTGGGGTGGGGAGCCTGGGGAAATCTTCAATCAGACCAGGTGGTCTTCCTCCTCCTCATCATCATCTTTTTTCCCCTCTGCCTCCAGGAGCCCAGAACCTTGGGACCTGAGTCTGTGGCCAGGAGATAGCACTAGCCAGACCCTGTGGGGGGCCTTGTGGCCAGAGGAAGGGGAGATGCTGATCAGAGGCCCTGAGATGGCAGAGAAGCAGCCTGGGGGAGGGGGAGGGGGAGAACCCTGGCCATGTTTCTTCCTCTTTCTACACAATAGGTCATTGATGGAGATGAACTCTCAGCTTTCTTTTCCAACCAGTCATTCTGTAATAAGGACAAGTGTGAGACAGTAAGGTACAGCTAGTACCCAGGAAGATAGCTGAAAATCACAGATCAACTTAAAAAGGGAATTTTGAGATCAGGAAGGCAAACACCTTATTTTTACAGAGGAGTAAACTGAAGTCCAAAGAAGGGACTGGTGGTGTGGAGGAAGGAGTGCTGGATGGAGAGTGAGAAAGCCCAGGTTCAAATCCAGCCTCCACTATCTAACCTAAGCGAGTCACCAGTCCTTGGGGGTGGAAGTGGGGCAGAGTGGTTCACCTCTAGGGTCCCTTTCTAGTCTCCACCTTGGAGCCTCTGAAGGGCCTGGCTCTTCAGTACAGGGTGGGGACTAGAGGCAGAATCAAGAGTTGGTTCAGAATTTCACCAAGAGGCCCATGATCCCCTTCCAGCTTTGGCCCGGGAATCCTAGGAGTACAACCCACTGTACCAAACTCGGGCTTTCCCCTAAATTCAGATTTTTTTTTTCCAGTCCTGCCCATAAGAATACATGTGTTCATACACAACCACAGAATACCTTAAGATCCTCTGGTCCAAGCCTCTCATTTAACAAAGGAGAAAACCAAGGCAGCAGAGACCTGAAACATAGACCAGGGTCCTAGGAGAGGTGGTGAGCTCCCTGCCGCTGCAGCTCTCGCAAACATGCTGCATGACTGTTTGTCGTGTCTGACACAGAAAGGATTTTCCCCCATACGTGGATTGGACTTCAATGGCCCCACGGTACCTTCCAGCTCCAAGATTCAATCATTTCTTGACCAAGACAGTAAGAAGGACAGCCCGGCACTGTGATCCAAAGGGCCCTGGATTACAGTGCTAGATAGCCAGCTTCTACAGCCAGTCTGTGCCACATTTTCCCTTTTTGAATAGAAGCTCCTTGAGGACAGAAGTTTTACCTTTGTCTTTCCATCCCTAGTGCCCAGCACAGGACCTTTAAGGTCTGTTAAGCCTCTGGAAAAGGGGGCAGATGGACTCCAGGCTCTCTGAGCTCTCTGGGCCTCAGTTTCTTCCTCTGTAAAAAGGAGACCCGTAGGGTATCTCCAGTATATTTTGTCTATAGCTTACTTGCATGTTGTTTCCCCTATCAGACTGTGAGTTCCTTGAGATCAGGAGCTGTTTTTTGCCTCTTTTTGTATCCTCAGCATTTAGCACAGCTCCGGGCACATAGTAACAAGCCTTCATAAAGGCTTGTTAACTGACTGACTCTAAGAGGAGGCAGGGAAACTATGGACTCTCTGAGCTCTCTGGGCCTCAGTTTCCCCCTCTGTCTCCACACGCTTTCTGCCGGCCTGAGGTCCGGGGGTTCGATCCCCACTTTCCCCAGGCTCTGAGCCTGGCACAGCTGCTCCAGTCGCTCGGCCCTTCCTAAGGGACAGCCATCACTTCTGCCAAGGCTACCACCTCCTTGCACAACCCGCCTGGGAGCTCTCCCTCTGGGATGCTGCTTGCCCCACACGCTGGAGGGGTGGATCCACAGCTGGCTTTCCCACCCGGCGCGTTGTTGGGGTGCCGGAGGGAGTCGCCAAGGCTGAGCTGGGACTTCGGGGACACCGCGTCTCAGGGGAAGAGGGGGTGGTGCGCTGAGGGCTGGAGCCCCTGGTCTTAGGAGGGCAGGCGGCTAAGGGGTCGGGACCACTAGGGACACTATGTCCCGCGTGGGAGAGGGAAGGCTCAGAGCTGGGCACCGGGAGGTGAGGCAGGTGCCGAGTGGGGCCCGCAAGAATGAGGCATCCCAGGGAAGGGAGGCTCACAGCTGGTTCCCCAGGCTTGGGAAGGGGAGGCTAGGGTGGAGAGGTTCCAGAAACGGGGACCCCCTCGGAAAAATGTGTAAGAGGGAAGGGGCAGGCAAAACCATCATCCTAAAAATGGCAACGTTCCCACTTCAGCATAAAAGCGCCCTCCGCGGACAGACACACGCTACAGAGCGGAGGGAACGCACACACCATGCGGCACACCGTGTGCGTGCAGCTTCAGGGGAGCTGCGGATCAAAAGCGGAGCAGGGCTGGACGGCTGGGGAGGGTGGGGTTGGAAGGGGCACCCTGCGGTTGGAGTGGAGACCTGGGGTGGGCGTCGGTGGGAAGAGCTTGGCTGGAGGGAGGCCCCTGGATAGAGGATGAGGCTGCTCTCAGAGAGAAAAGCTGGGCCACAGAAAGGGCCTAGGCTGGCCCTTAAGGTTGGGCCTAGACGGGGAGAACTGGGCCAAGCGGTTGAGCTGAGGCCTCACTTAGGGAGGGGAGACGTCTGGGGCTGAACCGGAAAGAGGACCCAGGCGTGCCAGCCAAGCTTGGGGTCGAAGGCGGGGGGCGGGATCCAGGCTGGACGGCGTCGCTGGGCTGGCCGGGGGTCGGGGCTGGGGAGACGGGTTATCTTGGCCCATAGTCGTAGTTGCCTGGAGCCCCGGCGGAGGAGTACATGTTGGCCGCTGCCGCTGCGGCCGCAGCCGCGGGATTCACGTGGTGGTGATGATGGTGGTGATGGTGCGGGTGCGGGTAGCCGTGACCCCGGATGCTGGGCAGAGGATAGGGCGCCGGCCGGCTCTTGGCCCCGAGGTAATGGTCGTAGGCGGCGGCCGCGGCCGCGGCAGCTGCCGGGTATTTGTAGGGGTGATGGTGCAGGGGCTCCGAGGCGCTGGGCGCCTCCAGGCGTAGTTCGTGGTGCGGGGGGCTCGGCCTACCTCCGGCGGTAGCCGTGATCTGCACCAAGCCTCCGGCTCCCGGGACGGGCAGTGCCGGGCTCAGCACCCGGGACATGAGCTGCTGGTGGGCCGGATCGGCGTGCAGAGGGGTGCCGCTGGCTTCTCGCTCGTACTCCCGCCGGCTCTCAGCAGCGTCTGCGAAAACGAACCAACAGTTTTGGTTCCTCGGATGGGAGGAGGGTGTCACCATTTTGCCCTGTCCTCCAGCCTGTCGCTAGTGGCCTCCTTTCTGACCTGGATCCCTCCCCTGAGCCCCTGCGCTCCCCACCCTTAGCCTGAAGACCACCGGTTTTCTGCTCTCCAATGCACCTTCTTCCTGGCCGGGATTCCCCCAGCCCCACTCCACGCCGTGCTGCGCCCCTTCCCTGAGAACCCCACCCACCCATCCATCCACACACACAGTGCGCCTGAGCCTCCTCCTACCCGGGGCGCTAGTGCACCCCTTCCCTGGCCGTGATTTACACCTCCCCCCACCTCCGGAGATCCACTCCCTAACTGGGAACGTCCTGCCTCCTTTGCCCCATCTTCCTGGGTTCCAATTTCAGCCTGGAGCCTCCTTACCCTGGACAGCAAGGCACCCTTTCTCTAACCCGGAACCTCCCTCGCCGGACCCAATGCACCCCATCCCAGCCGGAAATCTCTCTTGGCCTTCAGTACCACAGTTCAGCCCCTCCATGGCCCGGAGCTCCCCGCCCCAGCGCCCGTGCGCCCCAGGGTGCCCACTCTCCAGCTAGGATCCTCTCCCGGCGCACCAATGTGGCCCCACCCCAGCCTGGAGCACGTCGGCCCGCACTCCAATGCAAACTGTCGGCGAGCCTTCACTGCACCCCCTCATCCGAGAATTCCTTCCCGCCTCCCCGCCTCCCGCCCCCAGAGCGGGCGTGCGCACGCACTCTCCCAGTCCCCCCCTTCCTGCTCAGCTTTTAGCTTACAGCCCCGGCCTAGGCCAGAATTAACATTTCGAAAAGGACCCGTGAGCTGACTTTAGGGAGTGTGACTGGAGCCCCCGCGCTGGGGAGGCCTGGGGGAACACAGGGGGAGGGGAAGGGACGAAGATAGGGCTCGGTCCCGAGCACCCTGTGTGCCGAGGGCTTCTCGGGAGTATTCTTCCTCCCCCATCCCACCCCCGGCCTCCCCTTGTCGCCTCCCCTTCCCTAGGCGCTCGACCTCCCCAAGCATTTTTGCCTGAGGCGGGAAGAGAGGCTACCATGGGGTTAAAAGCAACGCTACCCCAGGGCTGAGACGTTGGGCGGGCGCACGTGGCCGCCCAGAAATGCGTTCCTAGACCCGACTATCCTGCCGGCGGAGGTAAATGGGGCCGGAGCGACTGACAAGTGTGTACACGCATGACTTCTCAGCAATTGGCGCTGCCCTAAACAAACACAGCCTCTCTTTATGGGAGCGGGCCCCGGAGCCGCCAGGGCCGCGGGCGGGCGGTGGCCATGGAGCTCCTGCTCAGCAGCAGCTAATGGAAAAAGGAACTCGCCCGCTCGCCCACCCTCCAGCTCAACGCAGGCGCAGACGCGCAGCGGCCACAGACTCCCTAAGGGATCTTTCCAAGGCGCCTTGGGGAGGCCCCTGGGTGCTGCGACCTTCGGAAGAGGGTGGGGGCGGGGCTAAAACAGTCCAGGGGGAGGGGTCGGGGGCCCAGGCCAGCGTGGGAAGATTTAAAAGCTGGAAAGACCCTTAAAGAGCATTTAAGCCCGCGCAGGGATAGTGGGAAGAGATTGAGGAATTCTGGTTCCTATTCCGGCTCGAACACTGATCGGCTGCACTCCCTGCTAGGGCTTTGTTACGTGGAAAGTGCTTTAGAAAACATAAAGTGTCAGATAATTGCGTTGTTAGCATGAGGCTGAGAGATGAAGTGATTTTCCCAAAGCCGCGCCGTTTAGTGTGAGTCGAGTTTTCTGGCCGAATTCAAGACTTTTCCGCCCATGCCACCCCCACCCCCGTGTCTTTTCGGGGCCATTCGGCTCCTGCTGTCGGTTAGAAGACCCCGCCGGTCTATAGGATTGCTTGTTTCCACCCTAGCAGGGCAGAGGGAAAAAGTCAAGACCAAGAAAGGGCAGACCAGGCCCACCAGCGGGAGCTGAGCATGGAGACGGGGCTGGGCACAGGGAGGGCGCCACGCCTACCTTTCTCAGCCCCGTTCTGCTGGGCCGGCGACGCCACCGGATTCCGCGAGCGGGCGAAGGCGCTCATAAGAGGCAGCGTCCCTGGCCGGTGGGTACGAGGCCTGCAGCGGGAGACAACGGCCAGGAGGTCATCGGGCTGGGGTCCGCTCGGGCCCCGCGGGCTTGGAGGGGGCGTAGTTGGGGTGGGCACTCACCAATCCTCAGGGTCGCAGTCCCGAAAGCCTTTGGCGAAGGGGTTGCTAGCGATCTTGAGCTGCGTAATCTTCGTAGGGGGAGGGGGGAGAGAAAGGGAAAGAAATGAAGTGGGGGTGGCCCGAAGGAGAAGCCCTTCTCCCTTTCCTCCCCTCCCCACCAACTTCCCGCCTCCACCGATACTCTAAGATCCGAGGACGTAGAGTTGGAAGGGGCCTTTGGGTTCACCCGACTTCCCCATTATACAAAGAAGGAAACCGAGGCCCAGAGAAAGGGAGGGACTTGTCTAGCATTATACAGGAAGTAAATTACTGAGCCAAGATGCTAACCTAGGTCCCAGGACCTCAAACCCTGACTGCGCCAATTACCTGTGTGAACTAGGAAAATCACAAGCTCCTGGCCGGCCAAAGGAGGTTTTGAACTATTGATTTCTGAGGTCCCTTCCATCTCTGTGACGTGTTAAATGTGGTTCTGCCCCGTGCTTAGATTTCCAGGGGGAGGGGCGACAAAAAGACCTCCCCCACCTCAGTTTCCCCAGCTGTCAAGTTCCTGTATAGCCCTTGTCTCCCCCAGTTAGACGGGAAGCCCGTCCACGGAGTGACTGGGCTTGTCAATATCACCAAAAGCTTCCACAGTCGCGGCGCTTGGAGCAGGCGTTTCATAAATTGCTCGGTGACCGGTTCCTTGGTTGGCTGATTGGAGTCTGAAATCCCTTCAGGTTTTTAGGGTTGGGGAACCTCAGAGACCATATAACCCCCCCCCCCCAATATGCAAGGGAGTCATGTGATCGCACAAGGTCACACTGCTAAGCCACCCAGGAGAAGAGGGAGATGCTAAGACTCAGTGATCACCACTCCCAGCAGAACTTGGCCCAGGACAGAGGCGCGCAGAAACTGGGCTATGGACCGAGGAAAGGGTCCCCCTGAGCGTGTACCGCAGGGGGACAGGGAAAGGAGAAAGCCCCGGGAAGGGCACTGCTCGTTACCCGGAGGAGCGGTGTCCTCGCTGGATAAGAGGAGATGGCCCGATCAAGGGCCGGGGGAGGGGGGGGGTACAGCAAAAGCTGAGCGGAGGCTAGGCTAGGCTGGGCCTCGGGGCTGGAGGGGGCTGGAGCTGGGGGCTGCCTGGGGAGCCACGGGGGCCACGCTGGGCCCATGGGCAAATCCGCGGATAAGGCATGTGATTGCGAGTTTCCGGAATGGGTTGAAAAACAAACTTTAAGCCGAGCAGTGACAGTTCCAGATTTAGAGGTCAAAGTGATAGAAAGCAGGGGAGACAAAGCAGCTGTCCGCGGCCGTCAAAGGCCGCCAGGCCAGCCGAGGCGGCCCGGGAGGGGCTGCCTCCTTAAAGGGCCAGCCTTCTGTCCTGCCCATTCTCCTGCCCTGCCCGGTGCAGCCTCCTGCCCTGCTCAGCCCTCTGTCCAGTCTCTTGCTGTATCTAGTCTCCTGCCGAGCTCAGCCTTCTGCCTTGCCCTGCCCTGCCCAGCCCTGCCCAGCCGGGACTGGGGCCTCAGCTCCTCCACGTGCTTTGGGAGTCTTCCAGGGAATCAGTGCAGAATCTTTTCTGTTGTTTTTCTCTGCCCCACCGGGCCTCTGCCTTCCGTTTAAGGCTTGGTTAAATGCCTTCCCCCCCCCCCACCAGCCCCCAGCCCCCCGTCTAGCGAAGGTGTGACTGTGAAATAGAGACACTACACAGGTGCAGGTTGGGTCTGCCCTGGAAGTTTTCAGGAAGAGGATCTGGGCTTGGATCCTGAGCCCCTCCCGCTGAGTTCCTGTGGTATTTGGGACAAGCCCCCTCTCCTCTCTGGACCTCAGTGTCCCCCTCCCTAAAAATAGCAGGTTAGGCTGTCTTGGACTAACTCGAAGACCCTTTCTACCTCTCACTCTTGAGCCGTCTTCTTCCTAGGAAGGGCCACCTCTCAGCTCAGGAGCTCATTTGGCCCGCCTGTTCCGGATGCTGCCTGGCCTGGAGGACCTGACAGAACTCAGTGCCAGAGCAGCAGAGAAGCCCAGGGCTCTCCTGAAAGGGCCTACAGCAAACGGGCGCTCAGGACCCAGAGCCCTCCCTCCAGTCCTTTCCTTTCCAGCCTCGATCTTCTCTTTCCTCACCTAGGGACCAGGTTGCCAGCGGGGAGCGGCCCAGGCCACAAGGGGAGAAGAGGATGGGGCTTAGAGATAAGGCCCAGGGCAGGGGCCGGCTTTGCCCAAACAAACTTTGAGTGACACCTCGACCCCCTACGTCAGCAGGTGGAGAACCCGAGTAGAACCCGGGTTCAGACCCGCTAAGGAGGCCCCTAACGAGGGGCTGGAGGAGATAGGAAAGCCGGCTGCTGACCCAGTCTGATCTCCTCTCCTTTCTCAGAGAGTCTGGCCGCACCAGTCCCTGCAACCCAGCTGCTCTGGATTTTTAAATAAATGTTTGTTATATGACTGACTGGGAAAGAGGCAGCAAAGACAGGGATCCTCTGTCCGCAGCCAGACCCAAGCCCTTCGGGTTTGAACAAACCATTAAGTTCTCGTTTCCTGTACTTCGCACTGGGGTTCGAGGACTAGGGAAAGGGCCGAAGTACAGGCCTGAAAATGGGTCTGAGCCCGCCTTCTCCAGCTGCCCTCCCACCAGCCAGGCCTCTTCCCGAAGCTATTTCCTTTCTCACTTAAGTTCCTTTTCTTTCCCCACCCGCCCCCGGCTTCTTTCCTCTCGCCTCGCCCCTCGGGAGACTACCCTAGCCGGGGGCCCTTCCTCAAGTCTGGGAACTCCAGCCGCCGCTAGGAAGGAGGAAGGCACCAGCCGGCCGGACCAAAAGAGATAGACTTCTCCAATGAGGCCCAGGCTCGGTCCTTCGGCCTCCCCTGCCCTGAGCCGACCGCTGACAAACTGCTCAGGCCCTAGTCTGGACCTGGGGCACCCACTCAGTCAAAGCTGCTACCCAGCCTTAGCTTCCCCTGGGAGCTTTGAGAATCGCTACTCCACCCACCCACAACCCAGCAGCACAGCCCTAGAGCCCTGGCGGCGCGATCGCCCGGCCCCTCACCCTGTGGTTCTGGTAGGCTGTGACAGCTGTGAAACGGGTCTCCTCGAACACGAAGGTTTTGAAATTCTCCTCGGCGTACTTCTCGCTGTCCTTGCGTGGATCCACGTAAACCACGTGGAAGCGGGGTTGGTATCTGTGCATGGAGTTCAAGATGATCTGAATGACAAGATGAACCATGGGTCAGATCTCCAAGGGTGGCCCGGCCAGAGGCTGGGGACTGGGGGACTAGCCTCAGGGGACTGACCAAGACAGCGACTAGCCTGGCAGGGTGGCGGAGGTGGGGGGGACGGAGGCGGGGGTTCTCGAATCCACAGAAGGAGACCAGAGTTCGAATCGCACCTTTGCTGCTCACTTGCTGTGTGACCATTGGCAAGTTATTTCACTTTTGAGCCTCAGTTTCCCCATTTATAAAATGAGGATGACCTTAGAGACCACATAGTCCAACAGCTGCAGAAACTGAGGGGTTAGATGACTTGTCCACAGGCGCTCTCTCTCTCTCTGTCTGTCTGTCTCTCTCTCTCTCTCTCTCTCTCTCTCTCTCTCTCTCTCTATCTATATATAGATATATCTTATATATGTATTATATATACCTTATATTATATATTGTATTATATGTAAATATATAAAATATATGATTTGTATGTATATATATAATTTGAACCCAAGTTCTCTGCCACCAGACTCAGCACCCTTTTCATAGAATAGTGGGTCGTGATTAATCCCGTAATATCTACCCCCCAGGGATGTGAAGAGCTAAGGAGGCCATGTAGGGCTCTCAGCTGGGGCTGTGCTAGGCTCTGGAGACACCAAAGATAAAAGCAAAAACAACTAACCCCTCCCCCTGAAGTAGCTTAAATACTGGGAGGAGGGAGAGAATCAAAACAAGTGTGAAAGAATTCAAGCAAAAACAATAGCATAGTGAAGGGGCTCCGAAGACTCGCGTTTCCAATCTCTCCTCTCCTGCCTTCTTACTAGGTGGATGACTTCTGCCCCTTCCCCGCCCAGGGCTTCAGTTTCCTCCTCGGTAAAGTGAGGGTTCTACTAGACATCCCCTCCTTCACCTGTTCCTAGTCCTGGCCTCCTCTAGCAGTCTGGTGAAGTCCATGGACCCCTTCTCAGAATGATCTTTTTTTTTTTTCTACATTTATAATAGAAGGGAATGCTTGTGAAAGTCATGATGATTATTTTTTCTCCTCCAAGTTCACAGGCGCCCTGGACTCTTTCCACGGGTTGGTGGACCCCAGGTAAGGAGCTTGTGCACTAAACACTCTCCAGGTTCCCTCCTAGCTCCTAGAATCTTGGGGGAGTTGGAGTAGAAGTAATTGAAGCCTGAGTGTATGGAGGAGAGACGCTTATTGGTGCCTAAATTCTCCGAATAATATCTTTGCTTCCGGGTGGAGACAGCTCCCGGCAGAGACAAGCCTGGGCCACTGCCCTCGGCTCGGAAGGCACAAATGAGCTCGATGCGCGCGAATTTGCTTAGGGGTCCTAAAGGTTGGCAGCCATATTGTCTCGAACTCTGGAAGTGATGCAATGAAGCCCCCGTTGTCCACACCCCCATCCCTGCCTCCCCTCCCTTCTGGGTCCTAACCAACGCATTCCTAGCCCCTGGACGCTGCTACCCGGAGACCTGTGACGGACGCGCCCCAGAGTCCTCTCTGAGGATTGCCAGCGCCGAAGCACTCCACGACCTCCCAAGAGCTATCATTTTTTGTGGGGCTCCGACCAAGCGGAGTGAGGGAGGGGGAGGGGAGATGAGCCGAGCACATCACTGCATCTCCCCAACTCTTCAATCCCTGTACGCTTCAGCCCATTCTTCCCACCCCCACCCCACTACCCTGCAAGCCTCTTCTCGCTACTCCTGCCTTCTGCGGTGGTGGAGGTAGGGTGGGAGACGGGTAACTGGGGTCTTCCAGGGAGCATAGACTGAGGACAATGTCTCTGGGCTGCGGTGGCCAGTGAAGGTGGGCAGGAAAGCGAAAGAAAGAGAGGGGAGCCGAGGAAAGGGTGCCTGCACCGGTAAAATGAAGTGTGGACACAGTCTAAGACACAGCCCGAGCTACCAGCGAGAGAAAAGGAGTTATCCGACGTAAAGACTCCACTCCACCGCCCCTCCCTCCGCTCGGAGTCAGGAAACCGGGTTCTGAGCCTAGTCTAAAATTCCGTCTTCGAGGGGCTCTTGCGATCACCCTGACTAGCTGTGTGACCTTGGGCAAATTCCTACCCCTCTCTGGACTTCAGTTTCCCCCGGCTGAGGAGGCTGGGTTAGAAAGTGCGCCAAACAGCCTTCCTCAGACCCCTACTTGCTCCTATCGAAGTGAATGGGGCTCCCTGGGGAGATGTCGCTGGAAACAAAATTTCGAGAAAATGTCACTGCAAGCGGCATTTCCCCCTCAAAATATCGTCTACTAAAGCTTGGCAAAGACAGACTTCTCCGTCACCTTCCCCAGAGGTGGGCTGATTGTTCAATTTGGAACGTGAATTTTCACCTTGGCAATGGGCAAATGCTACAAAGCCAGACTGGAGGGTTGCTTGTTTCGTTGATTGTCTGGACTTTTAAAAGTGACAGTGAAAATGCCAATATGCAGATTAAAGTGGGTCCTGGGGATTTTTTTTTTTTTTTAAAGAGGTGAATGTTAGGCTCTGGTGAAATCCCACGTGCAACCAAATTACTGATTTCCTGGGGTCGGGTACCAAGGGCAAACAGGATTTGAATTTCCTCACTTTGGGTCTAAAATGTTCCTACTCTCCAAGCCTCTCTGTCTCTCTGTCTCTCTGTCTCTCTGTCTCTCTCTCTCTCTCTCTCTCTCTCTCTCTCTCTCTCTCTCTCTCTCTCTCCCCCTCCCTCCCTCCATATCTCTCCTTGCTGGGGAGTGGGGTGGAGAGTTAATCTATATAGCCCTTTTCTAGTTCTGATATTTCTTGGCTGGACACTTTCTCTGGGGGCACTTCCAGGCCACAGTAGGCCTGGGGAAATGGGTCAAGCCTTCCTAAGGAGCCATAGGGCTTCCCTAACCAAGCATCAGTAACTCGCCCTCTCTATCCCCCCAATAGCAATAACAGCAACTCTTCGAATGCAACAACAGCTCAGTAAAAGGCTGAGCCTCCAAGGCAGGGAAGCCTGATGGAACTTGACACACTGGACCTGAACCGGGCTTGCCCTCTTTGTGGCCCAGGCTCTTCTCTAAGGCTATTGATTGCAGAGCAGTTGCTGATCTGCACTGGTGGAAGGACTTCTTCCACTGGGAGTTCCTCACATAAATGAAGCCATAGTTCTGACAAAATAATCATAGTTGTAATAGCTCTCATTTATGCAGGCCTCTCAAGTTTGTAAAGCCCTTTGTAAGTGTTATCTCACTTGATCCGCACAACAACCTTGCTAGTGGTTTTTATTATACCCATTTTACAAATAAGGAAACCAAAACGAAATGACTTGCCCAGGGTCACGCATCTAGCAAGCATCAGAGGCAGTCTTCCCAACTCCAAATCCAACACTCTATCTGCTCTGCTAATTACCTGCTAGCTCTATTGCAGCCCAGCACATATCTCATGTCCACAGAACACTCAATGAAAATGAATGATGGCAGGTAGCAGTTTATCCCAGGGCTGATTTTATCTGCTTTCCATTCCACAAAAGGAGAGAATAATAACACCCCCTATTACCATATGTAGCCTTTTCAGCTTTACAAGTAACTTTCCCCATGATGAGCCTGTGAAACAGGGAGTCTAAGTATTGTTATCCCAGTTTTACAGCCGGAAAGGGTCTCAGAGAGTGTCTTACTGGAGCTCAGCTGTGAGGAAAAGTCAGGAGGCAGATGGGGCCGATGTCACTATGCTGCCCTTCCCCCACCCTAGTGACTGGGGTCTGGAGGAGGAGCCCCTTCAATCCGGCCAGAGTTAGAGGCTACCGTCCAAAGACAGAAACAACCGCAGCCGCTTTCCCTTTTTCACTTTATCCAGTGACTGACATCAGAACTCAATGCTGTCCTGACTGGAGACGCCATGAAGGGAGAAGTGGGCTACTAGTGTGTGGGAGGAGGCGGGGCAGGGTCACTCACATGGCCATTGTCATCCAGCAGGTTGTTGGTGAGTTTGAGTTTGTCAAAGGACACGATTTGCTTCATCCACTGGGCGCCCTTGGCTGGGGAGTCTGGGTGGTAGTGGACCCGGCCTGGGGTGGCAGGGTCTGCCTTCCCTGCCACCAGCCATGATGAGCTGTGGAAGGCGTACCTAAAGCCACAGAAATACAGCAGGTCAGAGCTCAGAAGAACAAAGAATGTCCAAACTGGAAGAAATATTGGAACACAAAATTTCTGAGCCAGAAGGGACCTTAGAGTATAACCATAGGAACATACATGCAGAGCTGGAAGGGGCATCAAAGGCCATCTAGGCCATTTTACAGATGAGGAAACTGAGGCATGGAGAGGGGATGGGATTTATCCAAGGTCACACACAATACAGAATATCAGAGTTGGAAGGGACCTTAGAACATAAGAGTTTAAAAACTGGAATGTGAGTATGGAAGGGAACCTTAGAATAGTAAGTCCAGCCCTCTCGTTTTTCCAACCATGGCTCTCAAAGGCAGAGTCGGCTTGACTCAGTACTCCTATCTGACTCCAAGGCCATTTTCTTTTAGGCTACTGGTTGCCTCCTAGGGAGGCAGGCGGGCAGACCTAGGGCCCTTCTGAGAGGAGTAGGTAGGTCCCGCTCTCCTCAGGCCTTCTACAGAACAAAATGCTTCCCGATTCAGGCAAACGGCCTTTCTTCACTGCCCCAGGTCCACTCAGGTTCGGAGCCCTGAGATCCGGACCTGAGCCTCTCACGTCAGCTTCATTCACTAACTCTGGTTGCTGTCTCCCTGTCTCTAGTTGGACAGAAAATCCCAATTTTCTCTGGAAAAGGGAAAAAAACTCCCAACAACCCAGCAATGTATGATGGAAAGAGCCCAGGTCTGGATTCCAGTCTAATGCTGAGACCCAAATGTAAGAGTGAGGACTCTCTGGGTCTCAGTTTCCCCACCTGTAAAACGTGATCAAGTGGGGCTGAGTGGAAAGACCAGTTGGCCTTTACCGCGTCTCCGACGTTCTCCTGGACCCTGACAGCTGATAAGAAAGAGGGGTACTCTGGGGTGGGAGTCGAGAGCTGGGGCGCTAAGGTCGGGCGTGGCTCTCTCTGGGCCGCCCGGAGCACCTCGAAGGCCGAGGAGACAAAGGACTGGGCGTGTCCCCATTAGCATTATTAATTGCTATTAATTGCTAGGTTGACTGAGTAGGATCGCGATTCCAATCTATTTCTCCCCTGGCCCCACCTTCCCCAGGCTTTTCGTGTGTCTGAACACGCAGTTCAGGGAAGAACGGGAGGCCGCCATCTCTTCCCCCCCGGTAATTGAGGCAAATGGGTTTATTGCTTTAATTATCCAAGTAATTGCCTCCGTTTTCAACTTCGCTTGGGGAGCAGAGGCAGCCTGAGAGATAGGGCGGGAGGGTGGGCCAGGAGACTGATTTCTCAAGGTCCTTCCATCTTCGAGTTTCCACATAAGGTGTGTGTGTGTGTGTGTGTGTGTGTGTGTGTGTAGCGTCAGAGTGAATCTGAGCATGCAGGGATGTGTGTTTGAATAAGAGTGTTCTTATACCGAATCTGCCACGTTGGTATGTTTGAGTGCCTATCATATGAAACTGGATATGGCTGAGTGAGTGTGTTTGTGTCCTAGGGAAGGAGTATGTGGGGATAAAGGAAGATGTGTGAATGCAGGAGGCTGTATTGATTAGATGGAGCAGTGGGTAGGTTTATTTCCCATGGGACCTCGGTGGCTCAGGGGCTGTGCTGGGCCCGGGGCTGAGCACGGAGCCCTTCCTTGGCCTCCTTCCCCTTGGAAAATGCGTGTGCGTGGCTGCACTATGAGAAGGGACGTCCGTGCATGTCTGCGTGATCTGGGGTGAACCCGTATGCCTGTGCTTGGGCTGGTGGGCGCCAGTCTCGGAAGAGGAGTAATGGGTCCTCTCTGGTGACCTTGGAGCCCGGAGGAGGGCCAGGCTGCGGGAACCACCTAGCAATCAGCGTGGCTGTCTTTATTGCCCAGGTTAATTTCCCCAGCGCTATTAATAACTATTAATCATCCTCGTCATTCTCAGCCCAATAACCAGGCACTGCCTAACCGCCTGCAGGTGAATGCCCGCCCCGAAGATTTGGGGCAGAGTGAGAACTCCCTCCCCTCGGGGGAAAGGTCAAGGTTTTGCTTCTCCTAGAGACAGCCTGGGCCTCCCTGTTCCAAAACACACGCACGGGAACCATACACACAGGAAACAAAATCAGAGAAAAAACCAACTCACAGATGCACACACAACGACACGCGCGCGAATAAAAACTATAGGGGGAAAAACCCCCAGCGAAATCAAGGCACTGGAGAAAATGTCCCAGAGCCATATACATTCCTGAAAACTAGAACAAAAGACGACCAAACTGTCTTCGTCTCTATCTTGTCCCGAGGACAACGAAGCAGGAAGAAAACACACGTTCACACTCGTAGAATAAACGCACAACGAAAAACGACGACACAGAAATGCCCGCTCGAAGGAAAGCCTCCGAAACAGAACCCTCCGGGCAAGCTCGCAGAGATAGGTGCCCTCTGACAAGAGGAGACGGACGGCCTGAGGGAACCCACGCTCAGCTGGGAGAAGCAACGCGAACAACAGGGCAAAATCCCGAAAGGACTCCCCGACATTCACGGAGGAAAGCGCGAGACAATGGTGTCCTATGCACACCCTCCCCAAGGACACGGACACACGCCGTCGCACACGGGCACGCTCACATCAGAAGGCGCCCACACTCCCGACACTCACTCCCATTCATCCATGCAGACTCACACGGACTCTGTGCCTCTCCAGGCGAAGGCCCGCACGCACACATTTCGTTCATGCAGGTTCATCCACACACGTGCAGGTACACTCATTCTGAAGGCACGCACACACGTACATATCCATGCAGAAACAGCCGTCACATACTTACACGCAGGTTCCTCCGCAGACAGTGCAGGCTCACGCACACTCCTGCAGCAGGGCTTTCATGGATTACCCGCCTCCCCCTAAAAAGCCCACGCACGTGTACTCACCTGTACCGTTTATCGTCCACCGGCACGAAGTCCATAAGCAGCATATAGTCGGCCATGGGGTCCATGCCGAAAATCTTCACCTGGAAAGTGGGGAACATGCGCCTGCGGGGGGGGGGGGGGGGGGGGGGCGCGGGGGTCAGGGGGGGGGGGGTGGGATAAAATCGCAGCGGTCAGTGGAGGGCCGGGTAGGCCAGGCCAGAGGATCCCCGAGGGCCCAGAGGGCAAGTTCCAGGGTCCCTGTTGGGGGTACAGGCCCTGGCCCTTCCAGCCCAGCTCCCCCACTCCAGTCCCTGAGGGGGCAGGAAGAAAGAGGGGGCAGGGGCCTTCATTTCGGGGTCCCAGTCCAACCCGGGGGACTAAGAGCGACTTCTGCCCCGGCCCACGCACCAAGGACTCTTTCCTTGTTGCCGGAGACCCACAAGACGTAGCTGTCACTGGCTCTTTTCCCTGGCTTTTCTGTTAATCAACTTCCCTTTTCTCTGTGTCTCCGTCCCTGTTCTCCGCCGGCTTGTCTGTCTCTGGGTTGCGATCCTGTCTCTCAGTCTCTGCCCGTTGTGTCTCTTCAACAGAGTCAGCGGTGCTTCCGAAAACGATTGAAATGCCTACTGGATTCTCGCTCTCTGTCTCTGTCTCCCTTACCGTCTCGGGCTTTCAGCCTTGCTTCTCTTTTCTCGGCCTTTGTTTCTCGTCTTTTTGTCTTTCAGATTCTATCTTGTCCCCACGCTTCAGCCTCTCCCACTTTCTGGCATCTCTTTATCTCTGCTTTTTTCCTCTCTTGGTCTCTCTGTCTCTGTCTCTCTGTGTCTCTCTGTCTCTGTCTCTCTATCTCTCTGTCTCTGTTTCTGTCTCTCTTTTCCCGCCCCCCCCCCTACTTCCCCAGTCTCTGTTTCTCGGTTTCTATTGTCTCTCTCATTTCCCGCTCTCATTCGTCCTTTCCCTACCCAATTCTCCGTCTTTTTCTAAGGCCCGGTCGACCTAGACAAAATTTACGTCAATAGATCGCACCTACTCAAGTCCGAGATTCTATTTTAAAACGCAATCGATTTGTGTCTAAGGCCAAGTCTCCGCTGAGAAAACGAACTGGACCGTCAGGACCCCCGCCCCGCGCCCCCCCCCCCCCCAGCATTTCTTCTGAAATACTCTGGAAAACGAAGCCAACGAGTTCTTGGATTTTCCGATAATTGCGTCGAAAGTCCCTGAGCTTGCCCTTCGTGCAACTGTCCCCCTCCATTAACACCACTACTACCGCCCTCTCTCCAAAGAGCGATTTGATTTCGACTTCCCCGGCCAGCGACTCCGAGGCCATAAGCACCGCTGTTGGACTCTCCCTCACCCCTGGCCCCGATTCTTCTGCAGGCCCCGGACCTGAGGCTGAGCACAGGCTTCCTGGAAGCCGAAGAGCAGAGCTGAGTCTGCGAGGCAAGGACTCCGGGCCGCTCCCCTGTACTCGTAAACCTTGGCTGGCTTCTGGGGACCCGGGTTTCCCGGCTTGCTCCCAGGTGTGTCTACACTTTACTCCTCAGCTCGGGAAGTGCCCTCGGGCCGCCAGATTGCCTTTGAGAAACAAACAAAACCCATTCGTCCTGTGTTGGGGGAGAAGGGGAACCCCTCGGAAACTACTGAGAAGGGCAGGCCTGAAGTGATTCAGATCGTCCAAGCAAAACTCCGATTACTTTGGTTTGCCTTTCTTCTCCGGATAATTCCAGGAAAAGCGGCTTTTGGCTTTTCCAGATATTTTCCGAATAATTGTCTTAATTACCAGCTTCGATTTCCTAGTAGAGACTTGGCCTTTAGAAATAAATTGGAAGGGGTTTGGAAATAATCTATAGAGCCCGCTGTTTAACACAACAACCCGGGAGGCCGGAAGTTTTCCTTAGATCAAAGATAAAGTAGTGTGAATAGGTTTGCCCCCATTTTACAGAAAAGGAAACTGAGGCCTAGCGAGGGGAAGTGGCCCCTGTTATGCTCAGGGCATAGGGACCACCTAGTCCAGGAGAGCTGGGGCCCTTCAGTCAGGTTAGGCCGTATAGACACGTCCTCTGAGCCTACCAGTTCTTTGGATAATTGGAGGAGGGAAGATGAGGGGCTACCCAATTAGGACCTTTTCTCCCAACCGGACAACAGAGCCAATAGGCGGTGCGGGATTGGGTGGATGAGATTTCGGTTTACCCAGATCCGGGATAACTGTTTGCCTGTGTGGCCGTGAAGTGGCCTGCAAGCCGTTTTGGGGCCCTTGGGTGAACACTGAGACTGAGAACCTTTAAAAACCCAAGGAGGGTGTCAGTTCCAGAGCCCGGGTAGACACGAACAGCAAGCGGCAGCTCCAGAGGGGCTAGGGAGGGTACGGCCTAAAGATAACAATAATCCTTCCCATTCCTGTAGGGTTTAGGAAACTCTTTGGGAGAGATGAAATGAGAACAGGACTTCTTAGTCCAATTTGGCAACTGAAGACACCGAGTCTCCGAGAGTGCATATAGCTAGCCCGAGATCAGGCGATCGTAGGAGCCGGGTTTTGAGCCACGAACCCTTTTGGCTGTGGGGCGCCTACGCCTCTCCAAATGGGTTCCAGCTCCTCTCTCCAGGTGATCCGGAAAGCTCTACTGAATCCGCATCGGCTCCCCCGGACCGGACCTCGCTCCGGCTTCCCTCCCTCCGCCTGCCTCCTGCCTCCTGCTGACCACCCCTCCCGGTGGCTCCCTGGGACCTGGGCTGTAAATAGGAAGTCTTCTCTCCCCCATCCCCTCCCAGCAAATCCCTGGCCCTTCAAGATGCCCCCACCCAGGAACACGGCTGGGAATCAGAAGCCAAGGAAGGCATTCGCTGGGACCCCGGAGCTCGGGGCTGGGCAGATAACAAAGAGATTAAACGGGCTGGCCAGCCTCCCGGCCAGGTGTCCTTCAGGCGCCCGCTGGGCACCCCGGGACCCCTCCCAAACTGATGCGGGCTCCCCTCCTCCTGCCAGCACCTCGAGCCCGGCTCCCCAGCAGCCCTGGGCAGACCGGCTGCTGCCTGCTCCGCGGTCTCGCCTCCCGCCTCCCGCCTCCCTCCTCCCGCCTCCCGGCCCCGGGCCTGGGAATCTGGGGAGGCCGCAGAGGGGGGCATTCCGTGGGGGTCAGGACCCCAAACGCTGCCGCCTTCATTCTCAGATGGAGAGAGGGAGAGCGAGGACGCAAAGAGGAGCCCGGGCTCCGCTCGGGGCCCGCAGTTTCGTTTTGTTGTGTCTGAGGCGGAATTGGTGTGCGCCTGTGTGTACATTAGACACAACCCAAACACACGCCTTTGTCTGCTGGTCAAATACAGTTGCGTGGCAGAACTCGTTTCCTAGTCCGCTCTCTCGCTCTCCCCCCTCATTTTGTCTGTCTGCTCCGGAGCTCCGGCTTCGTCTCTGTCTCTGGGCCCTGGGGTTTTTTTCCTCACCTCATTTTGTCCCCGTCTTTCCCTTGGTTTCCTTGTCTGTCCTCCTCTCTCTGCCTCTCCCTCGGCACAACTGTCTGTTTTGTTTTCTCTCTCTCTCTGTCTCAGTAATTGTCTGGTCTCTTTCTCTTCTCTCTGGATTTACGGTTTTGTTATTCTCCTCTGGCTCAGTCTTGGTATCTCTGTTCCTGACGCTGTCTCGTCTCCATAAACAAATCTATACCCATTGGAAGGTGCCACACAAAGTAAAGTAAAAAAGAACTTCAAGATTCCATGCCTGGTCTGCATAATTCGGGCTAAGACATCTTCTCTTGCCACCTACAGATAGTGGTAGCTAAGCCAAAGCATTACATTCTGATGTAGGGTTAAATTTGGGCTTTCTTTGCCTCAACAAGGTGGGTCATTCGGCATGGCCTCCTCTTTGCCCTTGTAGACAGAAACTTTGACTCTCCCAGCCACACACACCCCGTCCCAGGGGCTCGGTTCTGAGGGCACCAGAGCTGAGTTTTCCTGAGGTCCAGACCCAGCCGTCTGGGTCTGTCTCTGTCCCGAGCCCAGAAAGGCCTTGGGAACTCACTGGGCCTCTCCTCCTGACCTGAGGGTTTGCTCCTGGCCCTGGGGCCTACTCTAAGCCTCGGCCTGACTGGCAGCAAAGAACTGCCTGGAAATCGGGCCCTCGGCCACCTCGGTGGCCGTGAGGCAGCTGTCTCTCGGCCTAGGCCCGGCCCAGGCATAAACTGGAAACCGGTCTCTGATCACTCTATTAAGAGCCTCAGGAAAACCCTCTTCAGACCTATCCTGCCTGTTCTTCCCTCTGCTTCTCCGACCCAGAGGCCCAGCCGTGGGACCCGCCTCTGGGCTCGGAAGCGGCTGGAACTCAGAGAAGACAGAGGGCAGGGAACTCGCGGAATAGCCGCAGAGTCCGGCCCCGCTGCGGCCCCAAGATTCCCTTGTCTCAGAGTCGGGACTCCCTGGGTCGTGGAGCGGGGGGGGGGGGGGGGGGGGGC